CTTTAAAATACATTAAAATATTAAAAAAATAACTACAAAAATAATTTGATAAAGTGTAAATTAAAAATATAGCAGTTTCTGCAACTATAATTGATAATGTTTTGAACTTTTAAAATACTGCATGACAGAACCAGAAGCTGTACTTCATATTAGTGACAAAYTTTGGCCTTTTTGATGGGTTACTTTCATTTTTGCTTCTACTTTTCATTTAAAATAAGTTTCCATTTTCTGCAGGTTTCTACGGTTCTTCTTCTACGCATTAAAAGATTTGTTAAACATCTGAGTGGCGCACTTGCGCTACTAGTGGTGAAAGAGTATATTGCACCTTATTCAAAATCAATGCGGTCCCGTGGCCCTCTGCGGCCCAAAGTTAAAAACTGTCGTTCTTTTGAGGCCCTCAAGGTGGCGATCACGGCCCACAGGTTAAGAATCTTTGGTTTACCTTACATTACGTCGGTCATACTTGTAGTATTTTATAGTGATTAGCATAGGGCACTATTTTTGTGTTGTTACATTATTCCATCAGAGCAACAAATAGAAAAGCTTTCTTTTCCGACGTTCTGACAAGCTGGAAACTGGAACACTTTCAACTCATAACTGACATCAGTCCGGCATAAGTCTTTTGTTCTGCGTCTCCTTTCAGATGGRTGCAGGTTCGGAGGAGAGAAGGGCGGCCCTAGCCCAAATGGAGACCGACTCTGAGGCCCTATCCCAGTTCGTGACCCCCGGAGAGGCCGGGCATATCCGTGCGCAGCTCGTCCAGACGAGGCGCCGCATCGACGAGCTGGCGGAGAGAACGGAGCTGCTCGGTGCGCAGCTCAATCAGAGCGCCGCCTACAGGCAGAGGTGCAAYGATAACCTCGAACAGGTTCGCTTGACACGAGCGAAGATGTTCGGAGATATTTTTGAGCTGTTAAATTACCTAACKGGTTTGTCTTTATCAGGTCAAGAAAACAATAAGTGATCTTGAAGAAAAACTGGACTGTCCTATCACTTATTGCACTTCATCATCAGAGACTTACAAGATCCTCCAGGATCACATGGTACGAATAAAACTAATCCCTTYAGAATTAAACAATAACCTTTTTATTCTTGTGTTTGATTTCTGGATCAACGTCTTCATGTTGTTCGCTCAAGGATTGACTTGGAAGCTACAAGTCTATTTTCATTTACTCCAGGAGGTTTGCCAGGGGTTTGAGCAGCTGAAGCCCCRGCTGATGGCACTGCGCTCGGCCACAGAGCGGCTCGCAGAGGGCAGCCAGTTGGACGAGGAGGTGGCTGACCTCCAGAAGCRGCAGAGGCAGCTCGTTGTGAAGGTGGCAGAAAAGCAATCCACATTACAGAGCCTTCAAGCTCTGTGGCAAAGGTACAATAAATAGTCTAGATMTGCTCATTTTGATTTGTTTCACTGAGGAATGAGCTCATATGAGGTATTTTTGAACAAGTGTGAGTCATCCTCTGCTGTAGCCTGAGTGTCATTTATTGAAATGTTCATTAATTTATTAAAAACAATCGTTTTTATATCCTCTTTTTCCCTAACCATTTGTGCGACAGGCTCATCGGTCTTCTGAATAAATGAAAACTATTTATCACAGTTGTTTTTTTTTTGTTTGTTTGTTTTTTTGTAATTTAAAAGAGGACAGTGCAATTTAATAAAACATATGAAATGCATAAGTTAAAAAAGCCAGAATTAGCCAAATGGCTATTTTTCATCTCTACTCCCCTGGCTATGATGTTAAAAAGCAGTATGATACAAGAATGAAAAATACAATAATAAGACAAAATAAATAAAAGCAGGAAATTAAATTAACATTTACATTTGAATAAAAAATATTTTCCAAATAAAACCCGAAGCAGGACTAGAGAGAAATGAATATGATTTAGATTTTTTATTTCTGGGACTGTATACGACCCGTGGGAAACATCATCATGGTCATTTCATTCCTCAGCTGACGCTGCTAAAAATGTTTTTTTTTTTTCTGGATCTCTGAGAGCAGGACTTCAATCTCCAAAGTTCTTCTTTTTCCTTTTCGCTGCCATTTTAATGAATGGCCACTTCCTGGTATGTGGGGCAGGAAACGTAGCCTTATATGGTGTTTTTGGGGTGGTAATTATGCTAATCTCCTCTCCCCGTGAACGAGCACCTGCATATCAGTTTATGCTCCTCATTTACACACTTTTCCTGAAGATAGTAGAGTTTGTTGAATCTGACGTGACATGTTCGTACGAATTCTTCGTACGAACAAAAGTAAGAGAAATTTAGGTTAAGAATACAAACAAGTGCGACTGTATTTCAGCCTTTTGCATGTCTCTTTAGCCACTCTCTGCTCCCCTGCAGACATAAAATATGAGGGATTATCTTCAGCACTGAGTACTCTGAAGTGTTATAGTTGACCCATTATGATGCTGTCACTGATACAGAAAAAAAAAACTGACATCATCGCAGTGCGGTATCTACATTTTTTCCCTAAAGTTTAATGCAAAAACGTTTGCATCTGCAGATATGAAAAAGAAACTGCGTCCATGAAAGGTTGGCTGGACAGATGTGAATCCCTGTGCTGCCCAGAGACTGAGCTCCTCTCTGCAGATAAAATAAAACTTAGGAGTGAACTGCAACACATGCAGGTAAAACCAATGCATTGTTCTCCGCGTGGCGCCACAAACAAGGTTTGCTGGTTGACTGGTCGGTTTTAAGCTGAGTCAAACTCACGGCCTCGTACACCTTTCCAGGAGATGCAGGGGGAGACGCCAACCCACGAGGTGCTCCTGCAGGGTCTCGCAAACCTCCTGCTGTGCCTGAACCCCACGGCGACCGAGGCTTGTGTCCGAGAGCTCGGCGATGACCTCAATCAACTCCAGGAGAGATACACTTCTGTGAAAATCAGCATAGGACACAGGTGTTTTTTAAATGATTCCTACTGACATTTGAGTCTTTCAGGCAGCTTAACTGTATAAATGTGTGAAATTAATCCTCTTTGTTTTCCTTCAGGTGTAAGTTCCTGGAGATGCACTTGGATCACTTGAAGCAGTTCGATCAGATCCTTCTGATTTTGACTCAAAGAAGCGAAAACTTCCTGTCCGACATGAGAAGCTCGTCTTCCGTTGATATTTCAAACCTCGAGGCTGCAGTTGTTGAACTACAGGTGATAAATCAATAATTAGCTTTTAACAGCGATGTCTTACGCATTATTAGAGCAGTTAAGTTAAAYGTGTTTGCATTGATTTTCTCTTTGACTTTCACTTTGAGTAACTGAATGAACTTGCTGCGCAGGAGCACGAGGCACGGCTGCAGGAAACCACGTCGCTGGTGGAAACGCTGCATGAAAGAGAGGCGCGCCTCCGGTGCCGTCTCACCCCAGAGGCTCAACAGCAGCTGGAGGCCTGGAGGGACGACTGCCTTCTGCCCCTCAGCGAATCTCAGCGTCTCCTCCTCGTCCGCAAAAAGTGCCTGGCCGAATTAAAGACGTTCCTCGAGAAGCGCGAGACGGCGGCGAAGGCCGTGCGCTGCCTTCACGAGRCGGTGGAGGGCAGGGGGAGCTGGGACCACTCCAAAGCTGAAGAACTGCACGGTGGGATTGTGGATGTGGCTAAAGACGTGGCCCGACTCGAGGCTGAGGCTGTCGGGTTGGATGGACAGCTAAGCAAAGCTCATTTGCACATTTCTGGAGCTGAGCTGATGGACTCTAAAGACATCGGTTGTCCTCAGGGTAAARCGTCCTGCAGAGGACAAGCCGTGGTCCTCACGGTGGCCCTGGAGGAGGTACAGAGGGCCGTCGGGTGGAGACAGTGTGAGGCYGACGCTTTAGGAGCCTTGTGGTGCTCGTTCAGGGAGAGAAAGGAAGAGGTGATGAAGAATCTGAAGAAACTGGAGGACGACGGAAGACRAGAGGAGGCCAGAGAGTTCAGCGTGCAGGCCTTTCAGAACAGGTTCACTCATTTTCATACAGATACCATAAGATGTCATCAAAGTTTTATCAAACGACATCAAACTTAATCAGCAACTTAAGAATTTGCATTTACTGTGAAAATGCAGCGTCAATAGCTGCGAGATTTTTGCAGAAATTTTGTAATTTCAGGATTCATTTATTGTCAYATGYAGGTTAACAAGAGTCAACAATGCAATKAAATTCTTAGGATGAGAAGAAATCCTTYGACTCGCTATAAAGAATAAAAAYAAAGACAATACAGGATACAAAATTCAGTTAGCAATAATTGCACAAAGAGTAAATAAACAAAAATTTAGGGTAATRTACACAGTGTAATTTGTTGCAAAAGCAAAAAAGAAGTGGCTAAAATGTATCTGAAAAAGCTGAATCTAGAACAAAGTAGGAATTAAGTAGCTGAAATGATCACAAAAAGGTGAATTTAGCTGAAAACAGCTAAAATTATTGAAAAACAGTAAACACCTGAAAGAAGCATAAAAAACTTAAATTAGCAGAAAGAAGCCAACAGGAGCACAAACAAAATTAATTAGTTGTATAGCTGAAAAAGTAGGGAAAAAAAGCTAAAATAAGCAAAAAGAGGCTGAGGGGAGCTAAAATTATCGTAAAGAAATAAAAAAAAGGCAGATTCAGAACAAAAGGAAAAAAATGCGGGAAAAACTGGAAGGATTTTAAGGGTGTTGAAGACAGCTCCGTTGATTTTTAATGAGAATAAAAATGACAGAAAAGGCTACATATTTCAAAAAGTATAAATTGCGGAAATACCAAAAGTCATAACCAGAATGTCCTGAAGGAGCTAAATGGCACAAAAATCGCAGAATTAGATACAAAAAAAGTACGAGGACACCTATTAATCATTTTTTTAATGTTCTGTTTTAAGCTAATAAAGGGTTAAAACACAAGACAGTACAAAGTGTTTTGCACAATTTGCATCTTTCTTATTAGTATAAAGGTCTCTAGATTGGTTTGAGAAGAAAGAACCCGCTGCCAGGTTACTGAAGCCAGCCTCCAGATGGAGAAATCCRTTCAAATTTGATGTCATTAGGAAAAGGAGATGTATTATGTTGGAATCAGGCAGGTAATCCTCCATTGTTTTCTTCTGGATTTATTTCTCCCAGGCTGCGTTTCTTTGTCCAGCTGGAGGATGAGCTCCAGTCGCTGCAGCACTCCCAGCGATGGTTGGAGGAGAAAGGAAAGCAGCTGGCCCAGAGAGACAGCGAGCTGGCAGCAGACGCTCTCAGGGAGGTGACGCTGGTGAAGACGGCCTGGGACAACGTGAAGACGTTGATAACCAACGGGTAAAGTGTTGATTTTTTTTWAAAGTTTGACAGCTGTAGTATAGTTCTGCTTCTCATTCTCTCTGGACGCTCGCAGCCAGGAACAGAGCGGAGTCRTGGTGGAGCTGCTTCGCTCGTTCCTGCGCTTGAAGTCCACCCTCAACGCTGTCGTGGAAAACGCTCAGGCCGTCGCTCACAATCTGCCCGACCATAACCACGACGCTCAGGACGCTAGAAGTGCTTTCACGCAAGTCAGTGCAAAATATAAAAAAATTATTATTTTGGAATAATTGGATTTTTCATTTCCGTATTTCATTGTCCACAGGGCTGCATTATGAGGACAGCTGAGAGAAAATGTTTCAATGAATTTTAATCTTTCTAAGTGAAAAAGATCCATTATTCGTGTGTCCAGTTTGTGTTGAATTCATACACTTGAGCGAATTTTGAATTTTGAAGTTATTTATTTATTAGGCCTAAAAGGCGAGATGTTATGAATTCATAATGGGATTTTCTCCCAAAAAGCTGAGGATTGTTTTGCATTTACCGACCGTTTGTCGTGTGCATAAACTGATCCACACAATCATTTCAAACAAAAACTTCTAAAGTCATGCAGGAGTTTTAGACTCAAACCATTTTATGATGAGAAATGACAGAGTTACAGATTTTTGTTCATCCTCGAAAATTATGAAGGTAATTTTGTGTTTTTATCATTCAATCAAACAAGAAGGTAGTTTCAATCAATCAATCAATAAAATCCAATCAAAGTTTTTTGCAAAATACAAACTTTTTTTCACGTCAGAAATCATTAGTTGAATCTCAAACTTTTGGTTGATTCTCTTAAGTTTTTAGTTGAACTCAAAATAGTTTTGAACTCAGAGAACATGAACATTGGGGACGGGGCCTAAGGACGAACTACTGTAAGACCTGTCCCTATTGGTTGGTGCGGACCGAAGCTATTTCCTTGTGCACCTGCTTCGAATGGAATGTTGTCAGTCCATTACAGTAGTTCGTCCTTAGGCCCCGCCCCTGACATTCATGTTCTCTGAGTTCAAAACTTTCAAAACTTAGAGCATCAACCAAAAGTCTAAGATTCAACCAAAGATTTCTGACGTGAAAAAAAAAGGTTTCTGTTTTGCAAAAAAAAACTTTTTTAAATTTTCTTTCTTATTGAAATTGTTTTTGTTTGGTTGAAATAATTTTTTTGATTGAAAAAAAATTTTTTTTGATTGAAACTACTTTTATGTTTCATCGAATAACAAACAAACAAACTTAACTTAATAGAAAATAACCATCTTGAATTAGGTTGACCTTAAGTGTTAATTGGTTGTTGTTTATGAGATATTTTGCTAACAGTACAGACAGTATAATACAGGGCTATTCAACTGGTGCCCCCCGGGCCACATCCGGCCCGTGAGTGACCAAAGTTCGGCCCGCCAATTGGTTCATTCATCTCTTAAGCCCAAACACCCGGTTTTCTACTTTAATTACTCTAAGTTCTTTTAGTGAAACATAGACATATTTGGTTTCTACAGAAATGTCAGAATCTTGGCTAGAAGCTGGTAAAAGCCATTTCTATAAACAGTTAAAACTACAAGCAATTGAAGATAAAATGATGAAAGTGAAAATAAATTTGGTTTAAAAATTTGTTAAGTCAGAGATGTCAAAATATTATTTGTGTTAAATAGGAGGCATAATGTGTTTTTGTTTTTGATAATGTTTAATTATCACTACTTTTATAGGGTTCTGTATGTTGTATTCATGATTAAATGCAGCAAAATAAACTAATTCAAAGGTAACAGATCTTTGTAATACTTGGTTTATTTACATAATAACTTTAATTGCTGGATATTTGGCCCCTCAGCTGTTGACCGGCAATAACTGTGGCCCCCGGAGCAATTTAGTCGAACAGCCCTGGTATAATACATAATACATGTACCCACATGGATATGAGCAAAAACATTTCTGACTTTTGCCTTTGGATGTAGGCGATAAAGATGGATTTTAACCTTCCAGTTTGGGCTGTTTCTGKCCCAGCCTGTTGTCATCCTTCTCCTTGCTTCGTCCCTGCAGCATAAAATCATCCAAGCAGAACTGAGAGACAAACAGGAGGACATGGACCAGCTCATCTGCACAGTGGAGGACCTGCAGAGAGAACTGGAGAAGGTTCCCAACGCTGACATGTTCTCCACGCAGAAGGAAATGGAAGCTCTCAGGAACCAGTGGCTGCTGGTGAGTGGTGCTTCAGGTGTCTGCTTTTGGATAAAACCGGGGAGAAAATCGCCCACTTTATTTGGATAAYTGCACAGTACATCCCAGATCAGTGAGCTGCTGGAAAATGATACTTTTCTGTAACAAAAACAAACTGCCTGGAGGTTATTCACATTTGAAATCATGAATTTTACATTTACTCTCACATATCTGGCTGAAATATGATAATGTCTCATAAATGTTTGAATTACTGTTTTGTTTTTTTACTGCTACTATTAAAGAAAACATCATTTACAGTCACAGACCTGAGCCACAGCTCATTTAATGGGATTTATTTTTCTCAGTTTTCTGTTTTCTTCGTGTATTCTCTCGTCTTTTTTTTAATTTAGTTGTCTGCTGAGCTGTCACAAAATGAGACAGAAAAACAAACATGTCTAGACAGGTTATCTTCTTTTTTTTCTATCTCTCCCTCACTTCTCACTTCCACATCTGTCAAACTAATTATCCCTCATTTTTCCTCCACCTCCCAGCGTTAAAAAAAAAAGGAAAAAAGAAAGCGGCATCCCTTGTTAAAGAGTGACAGAGACGGCTAAACACAAAGGAGACAGACCCTTCCTCTGCTGTTGATTGAGATGTTTTCTGTTCTATAATCAGACCAGTTTTTTTTATTTATTTATTTTTTTTAGGTTTCAGAAAAAATACAAGCGAACACAGAACGACTTGGCTACTGCGCTCAACTCTGGGATGACCTGAAGGCCACGGAGCGCGACATCAACCAGTGGACGGCCGCCTCTGTCGCCGAGCTCGCCGACTCMGCCGCCAGACTCGGCGACGTGGAGTCGGCCGAGGCTCTCCTCGCCACCTTTCAGGTCAGAGCGCGCCGAGGAGCTGCGGCGGCGAGGTGGCGTTCAGCGGGGGTGATTTAAACGTCTCGCGCTTTGATCTGCAGGCCGAGCTGGAGAAGAGGGAGCAGAGGCTGGATGTCCTGCAGGAAAGAGTGGCGAAGCTGAAAGAACGAGTCAAGCTGCAGGAGACGCCCATACAGATGCAGGTGAACGTGGTGGAAAACAGTGTCGACAAAAATAAAATTCCAATCAGTTAGTTGAAATTTGAGGAGCGACGTGAGCAAAAAATAAACTGGAGAATTCACTTTTTCTGAAAAAAAGCAGYGTGAATCCTTATTGCTGAAGGATATTTGCAGAAAAAAAGAAAAGATCCACAAAAATGTAGCAAATTGTTGTTAAAAATAGCTGAAATTGGCAGAAAAGTAGCTGAAAAGCTGAATCTAGCACAATCAAGAAAAACAGCGTTTACTGAATTAGGCAGTAAGAAGAAGCTGAAAAAAGCTAAAATTAGCTGAAAATACCTCAAAATTAGCTCAAATCGCAGAAAACAGCTGAAAAAAGCATAAAAGCCTAAATTAACAGAAAGTAGCTAACAGAAGCCCACAAAGCTTAAATTAGGAGAATAGCTCAAGAGAGCACAGAGATAGCTGAAGAAGCAAAAAAAATGCTAACATTAGCTAAAACGTAGCTGAAGGAAGCTAAAATTAGCACAAAGACGTTAAATAAAGCAGAACCAGAACAATAGGTGAAAAGTGCAGGAAAGGTTTAACCATTTTGAAGGATTTTAAGAAAGACAGCCCCATTAATCTTTAATGAGAACAAAAAATGGCCAAAAAGGCTAAATATCTCAAAATGTTTAAATCGCTGAAATACCAAAAGTCATAATTTATATAGTTAGTCAAGTTTTGATACATGAATAGCTGAAAGAGCACAAAAAATGTACAAAGTGAAATGTTTCATAGCATTCCCATAATTACATAACATCTCATTTTCTCTTAAAGCGTAAAAAAAATAAAACTTTGCTTTGTGTCGAGCAAGTTGCCCTCTTGTTTTTTTTTTATTTTTAATGGTGCTAACTGGTTTTACTGGACCAGGTCCTGGAGTCAGATCTGAGGAAGAAAATGTTCCACGCKCAGGAGGCGTACAACCAGGCCAAACACTCGCTGACCTACTTCAACTTCCAGAAGCAGCGACTCGAGGACCTCATGTCCCAGATGTCCGAGCGGCTGGAGGCCGTCGAAGGTTYCATATCGGACAACGCTGAAGCTACTTCTCTAGAAGACATTCAGATTGTGAAGGCACGAGCTCATGAGTTTATGTCTTGTTTATGTGGTGGATTTACACTGCTGATTCTGGGATATTAGATAGAGATCTTTTAAGCCTTGTGTATTACAACATGCAGTCATTTGGACTGGATTATTCTTGTAAAGACAACAGAGGTTAAAGGAGCAATATTATGTGTTTCTCAGACATACATTTAAATACTATACCATAATAAAGTATCTATG